TCCTGGGATCGAGCCCCACATCAGGCTCCCTGCTTGGCGGGAAGCCTGCTGCTCCCTCTCCCACTCCCCTTGCTTGTGTTCCCTCTCTTGATGTGTGTCTCTCTGTCAAATAAAATCTTAAAAAAAATAAATAAAAATGATATTCTATCCCAAATATCACCTTACAGTATATACATACCTAGAGTTCATAGTATAGAAAATGAGACTATAAAACAAGTGATATGAGTGCTATATGCTTATTTCTATGTAAATTAGCAATATTCTCTGGAATCAGAAGAAATCAGGTAATAAAGTTTTCTTTTAATTTCATGGTCTTCAGGCAAGGGAAGGTAGTATATAGTTCTTGAGTAACTCTGTTTGCCATAATACTTCATTGTGCTCTTTTCATTGTATATGGTAGGAAGTGACCAGAAGAAGGTTACATATACATATACATTAGACATTAGATTTTGGAGTAATATTAACACCATTTTGTTCAGCATCTTGCAGGAATATGGGATAATGGAGAAATAGGATTAGTTTCAAAGTTAAGGGGACCTTCTTTTTTTCTGATTTTTTAGTTGTTCACCTGAAATTCTTTTAATGGTCTCTTTTCTAGGAGATAAGGGCTATAAAATACCATTTGGGGGTGCCCGGGTGGTGCAGTTGGTTAAGCGTCTGACTCAGTTTCAACTCCAGTCATGATCTCAGGGTTGTGCTTAAGACTCTCCCTCTACCCCCTCCACCACACTGTCTCTCTCTAAAACAAATTAAAAAATCTTAAAAAAAAAAAAAAAAAACCATGTTGAGGCACCTGAGTGGCTCAGTCGGCTAAGCCTCTGCCTTTGGCTCAGGTCATGATCTCAGGATCCTGGGATTGAGCCCCTCGTTAGACTCCCTGCTCAGTGGGGAGCCTGCTTGTCCCTCTCCCTCTGCCCCTCCTCCCTGCTCATGCTCTCTCTCTCTCTCACTCAAATAAAATCTTAAAAAAAAGTACCATCCGGGGCACCTGGGTGGCTCAGGTGGTTAAGCGTCTGCCTTCATGATCTCAGGATCATGAGATCAAGCCCCTCATTCGGCTCCATGCTCAGCATGGAGCCTGCTTGAGGTTCTCTCCCTCTCCTCCTGCCCCTGCTCCTGGTTGCACATGCACATGCACTCTCTCTTTCTCTCAAATAAAATAAATAAAATATTTAAAAAATAAAAATAAAATATTTTTTTAAAAAGAGCATATTCCCGACAGAAAATATAGTATATGTGAAGCAGGGGCAATGGAATTTTGAGAGATCTGTGCAGTTTTTTTAAAAAGATTTTATTTATTTGACAGAGAAAGACACAGCGAGAGAGGGAACCTAAATAGGGGGAGTGGGAGAGGGAGAAGCAAGCTTCCTGCTGAGCAGGGTGCCTGATGTAGGGCTTGATCCCAGGACTCCGGGATCATGATCTGAGCTGAAGGCAGACGCTTAACGACTGAGCCACCCAGGCGCCCCAAGATCTGTGTAGTTTATTGTGGCTGGAGCTTAGGACAGACTGTAGGTAAAGTAGAATGGTGAGAGTTAAGGCTGGAGAGATGAATTCAGGCCAAATGGTGAAGGACCCAGTATGGCTGCTTACGGAGTTTGAACCTGATTCTTTAACAAAGAAATTTTTAATAGTACTGATGCTATAGTGTGAGTGCACAAGTTTCTTGAGTGTCATATTTGTCTTTTGTGTTTCTAATGCCAGACACATATGTGTCTGGCAACAGATGTTTGTGGAATATAATTCACCATCTGGAGTGGAGAAAGACTGCAAACAGACCAGTTATGATAGTTTAGGTAAGAGAGTAGGCCCAGAGCTAAAGCAGTAGCTGTACAAGTGAAGAAAAAAAAAAAGCTCACTCAGAATTTTGATAAATTTCTGACCTTGAAGACCAATTAGAAAAGGCGAAGAGAAAAAAGAAAAGAAAAGGGGAAGAGAGGGGTGCCTGGGTGGCTCATTCGGTTAAGCATCTGCCTTTGGCTCAGGTCATGATCCCAGGGTCCTGGGATTGAGTCCTGCATCAGGTTCCTTGATCAGTGGGGAGCCTGCTTATCCCTTTCCCTCTCCTCCTGTCTCTCCCCCTGCTTGTGCATACTCTCTCTCTCTCTCTCTGGCAAATAAAATCTTAAAAAAGGAGGGGAGGAATAGATAAGGAGGTTTCTAGTTGGGGAGATTGGATAAAATGCAACACCATTAGCTGAGACTGAAAGGGACAGATATAGGAGTAAGAAGAGATTATTATATTGTATATATTTAGTAGTCAAGGGAAAGGTTTTTATTTTTGTGGCTTGTTTAGGAATTAGGAGGGGGTCTGTTTTTGGTTTTGGTTTTTTAATCATGTTTGAAGGATGAGAGAAGCCAGTGGAAACAGAGGTATTAGAGAAGACAGGATAACTGAGAGAACAAAGTCTGGCATGAGGCAGAAGAGGATAAAACCCAGAAAAGAGGGAGATAGTTTAGGAAAAGAGAAGGAGATGAAAGTAAGCCTAAGGCATACATTCTAAACTCCTTCACACTTAGAAAAACTCAAGGCTTGGCTTGTAAGAAGGATGGATCTTTTGTGTGTGGGTGTATATATATATATATATATATATATATATATATATATATATATATATATACACACACACCTAGAACTATTTTTGGTATTCTAATCCTGGAATGTTACAGTTTTGGGTTTGTGCAATGGAATGAATGTTTATGTACTCCCAAAATTCATACATTGAAATCCTAACCCCAATGTAATGGAATTAGAAGGTGGGGGTCTTTGGGAGGTAAATTGGTCATGAGGGTGAAGCCCCTCATGAATGGTATTAGTACCCTTATAGAAGAGACCCCAGAGAATTCTCTCTTCCCTTCTTTCTACCATGCAAGGATACAACAAAAAGTTGGCAGTCTGCAACCTGGAAGAGGGTCCTCAGCAGAACCTAACCATGCTGGTAGCCTGATCTCAGACTTCCAACCTCCAGAACTGTGAGAAATTTCTGTTTATAAGACACCTAGTTTATGGTACTTTGTTACAGCAGCCCAAGCTGACTAAGACAATTTGCCAAAAATGATCAGGCATATGTTAAAGTGATTATTTAATAGAGATCCAATCACCTTTGTAAAATTTTAATGATAACCAAACACAGGAACAGTGTATTTCTGATAAGAGTCCTGACACAGACTTAAGAATACTTACTACAGGGGCGCCTGGGTGGCTCAGTCGGTTGAGCGTCTGCCTTCGGCTCATGTCATGATCCTGGGGTCCTGGGATCGAGTCCCACATTGGGCTCCCTGTTCAGCGGGGGTCTGCTTCTCCCTCTCCCTACTGCTCCCCCTGCTCGTGCTCCCTCTCTCTCTCTGACAAATAAATAAAATCTTAAAAAAAAAAAGAATACTTACTACAAAAACTATATAGTGTTAGGTCAATAGCATCTCAATTTTTAAAATAATTTAAAAATACTTTGTAATCTAAATAGTAAAGTTTTGCTATTTAAATATTTTAATTTTCAAAAATAAATAAAAATAAATATTTTAATTTTCACTATAGAATTACAGTTTCCACGAAGTCAGGGATTTTGTTGTGTTGTATCTCTAGGGCCTGACCTGTAACAGTCATTTCTTTCATTCATTTATTCAACAGGTATTTATGGAGCACCTACTATGGCCCAGGCACTGTAGATGCTGAAAATATAACTGAACAAAACAAAAATCCTTGCCCTCATAGAGCCAGCACTCTTTGTTGTTTTGTTTTGTTTTGTTTTGCTTGGTTCTGCCAGCACTCTTTTTTAAAAAAATTTTTATTGTTATGTTAATCACCATACATCATTAGTTTTAGATGTAGTGTTCCATGATTCATTGTTTGTGCATAACACCCAGTGCTCCATGCAGAACGTGCCCTCCTCAATACCCCTCACCAGGCTAACCCATCCTCCCACCCCCTCCGCTCTAGAACCCTCAGTTTGTTTTTCAGAGTCCATTGTCTCTCATGGTTCGTCTCCCCCTCCAATTTCCCCCCCTTCATTCTTCCCCTCCTGCTATCTTCTTTTTGTTTTTCTTAACATATATTGCATTATTTGTTTCAGAGATACAGATCTGAGATTCAACAGTCTTGCACAATTCACAGCGCTTACCAGAGCACATACCCTCCCCAGTGTCTATCACCCATTCACCCCATCCCTCCCACCCCCCCCTCCAGCAACCCTCACTTTGTTTCCTGAGATTAAGAATTCCTCATATCAGTGAGGTCATATGATACATGTCTTTCTCTGTTTGACTTATTTCGCTCAGCATAATACCCTCCAGTTCCATCCACGTCGTAGCAAATGGCAAGATCTCATTCCTTTTGATTTCTGCCAGCACTCTTAAATCAGTCTGCCAAAAGCTGTATTACAACCTTTCTACTTGTACCTCATTGAAAACTCATGTGGCTACATCCATCTGCAAGGATGAGACTGGGAGAATGGGAGTGTTTGATCCACGTGATTATATGCCAAGCTAAAATCAGAGATGGTGTGACTTAGGAAGATGAAGAGATGTTGAGATAGGTGGTTAACAAGTCTCTACCTCAGACATGTTTACATATTATACCATTTTTTAAAAAGATTTTATTTATTTATTTGACAGAGAGAGAGACAGCGAAAGAGGGAATACAAGAAGGGGGAGTGGGAGAGGGAGAAGCAGGCTTCCCGCTGAGCAGGGAGCCCGATGCGGGACTCGATCCCAGGACCCTGGGATCATGACCTGAGCCGAAGGCAGACGCTTAACGACTGAGCCACCCAGGTGCCCCGCAACTCTCAATTTCTTACATTCCCTCTCCCTGTAGTAATTGTAGGTAGGGGAGAGGAGGAGGAGAGGAATTTGTACCTTGATTTTGTCACATTCTAAATCATGAAATAACTGGTAAAGTTGGCACTGTCTACTCAATGCTTAAATTTTATTGTTGAAACAATTTTATTTTATTTAAAGATTTTATTTATTTATTTGAGAGAGAGACTGAGAGAGAGAGCATGAGAGGGGGGAGGGTCGGGAGGGTCAGAGGGAGAAGCAGCCTCCCTGCCGAGCAGGGAGCCGGATGCGGGACTCGATCCAGGGACTCCAGGATCATGACCTGAGCCGAAGGCAGTCGCTTAACCAACTGAGCCACCCAGGCGCCCTTGTTGAAACTATTTTAATTAAATTTTTTTGTTGTTATTGGCCGTGCCTGGGTGGCTCAGTTGGTTAAGCATCTGACTCTTGATCTCAGCTCAGGTCTTGATCTCAGGGTCATTGAGTTCGGGCCCTGTGCTGGGCTTTACTCTGGGCGTGGAACTTACTTAAAAATAAATAAAATAAAATACAATGTTTTTTCCCTAATATTTTGGGGCCTCCTTTCCCTATTGGGCTTGGGGGGAATGAGATGTCAATTTTAATAACATGCCATGGGTAAAATATAATGAGAAAAGTGAACTTCGGTATATTCCTCAGATAAGTTTTAAACTATATTTTACTGGCTTTAACTTCCATTACGTGGACAATTGAGAATTGACTACATTTCTAAGTGCAGCTCCTAGGAAGCTTGATATTTTGGTATATTCTCCATCCTGTAAGTGTAGGCTTCTAACTCTCAGAGGAAGGAAGCAGCCTCTTTGCACCTTAAAGACAAATTCAAGGAGGAAGATGTTTATGTCAGAGAACCTGTTTTCCTGTTTGGCTCAAGTCCAACAGATGTAATATTGGACAAAATGAGACATGCTCATGTTTTCTTATTGTGGTCAGAAAAAAATGAAAGATCTTAGTATCTAGTTTTCTTTTCTTTATGCTAGTTGATCTAGAATTGGATAAGACAAACCCAAATCAGCCACATATTTTACTTTACTGCTTCAAGCTCTTTTGTAGATATCACTAAAACAGTCATCTCTTTAACTGAAGACATCTCTGAAGGATGTGACTGGCCATTCTATCTAAATGTTTCTGGCCCATCATATTGCAAATAAATAGCCTTTGCTGCATAAAAAAACACCACAAAGTGGCTTTAAACAACAATTTATTATTTCTTACTATTTTGTGTGTTGGCTGGCCACAACTATGTGGCTTTTCTGCTCCATGTGGTATCCTCTGGGTTCACTCATGTGACAGTCATCTAGAGGCTCGACTAAGTCTGAGTGATCCAATATAGCCTCACACATTGGTCAGCAGGTGCCTGCTGTTGGCTGGAACTTTTCTCTCCACATAATCTCTCCAGCAGGATAGCTGGACTTCTCTACAAGGCTCCAAGGAAGTGAAAAGTAAAAACTACCAAGTCTCTTGAGTCCTGACTCTCAAACTGTCCCAGCTTTATTTCCACCACATTCTCATGGTTAAAGCAAGTAACAAGGCCAGTCCAGATTCAAGGCGGGGTGGGGGGGGGGAGGGGATAGATGCCACCTCTTGATGAGAAGAGCAGTAGGTGTATATAGGAATGGGAGGAACTATACTGGTCATCATCTTTGCAGACAATCTATCACACATGAGGAAAGAGAAGACTAAAAAGGGGGAAAAGAACTTGAAGTTGAGAAAAGAGGAGAAACATGAGCTGAAACACAGAAAAAGCAGTATAGGTATGCTTCTACAGTGCTTTTGTGGTTAATATTCTTGAATTTCCCCAGAAAAACTAGCTGAATGTATAAATGAATGAATATATGTTTGTTTTCAGTAAAGGAAAGCAACATCATGCATTTTTGTCTGCCCCCTTGTTCTTAAGCCCAGGATGTGAGGGAAAATTCATATGTTGTACAAAATATATAGATATCCATATAGATATAGTATTTATATATGAACTGTTGTATTCAGAATGTAGGTTAAGAACAACTGCTTGAGAGGCACCTGGGTGGCTCAGTCGGTTAAGCGGATGTCTTTGGCCCAGGTCATGATCCCAGGGTCCTGAGATCGAGCCCCTCGTTGGGCTCCTTGCTCAGCGGGGAACCTGCTTCTCCCTCTGGCTGCCTCTCCACCTGCTTGTGCTCTCTCTGTCAAATAAAATCTCAAAAAAATTTTTTTTGTAAGAACAGCGGCTTGAGTTCAAATCCTTGAACAATCACTTGGGCAGTTACCTAATTTCTCTAAGCTTTAGTTTCCTCATTTTTTTTTTAAAGTAGGCTCCACCCCCAAAGTGGGACTTGAACTCACAACCAAAAGTCACATGCTCTACCAACTGAGCCCGCCATGTGCCCCATTAGTTTCCTCACTTATTTTTTCTTTTTAATATAATCTCTACACCCAACGTGGGGATCCAACTCACAACCCTGAAATCAAGAGTCATAGCCTCTTCTGACTGAGCCAGCCAGGCGCCCCCTTAGTTTCCTCATTTTAAAATGGGCTTAAAAAACAATACCTACTTTATTGGGTTATTGTGGGGATTAAACAAGATAATATACTTAGCACATTGCCTGGAATCTAGTAAACACTGGATAAATATTAGTTATTCTTTTTTTTTTAAAAGATTATTTATTTATTTATTTATTCATGAGAGACAGAGAGAGAGAGAGAGAGAGGCAGAGGGAGAAGCAGGCTCCCAAGGAGCAGAGAGCCCGATGCGGGACTCGATCCTAGGACCCTGGGATCATGACCTGAGCTGAAGGCAGACGCTTAACCATCTGAGCCACCCAGGCGCCCAATATTAGTTATTCTTATTAAATCTATTAAGTCTGCCCTCATATAACAGAGAATCTTCCACTGGAATAGTGTCGGGGAGGGTTATGGCCCCAGTGCCAGTCTAAGGTAATTATTTTGGCCTTCTGGGTTAAGAACCTCAAAACTTACTTATTTTGCTTTTCTCCCTGTCTTTGTTGACAAGCAAAGAGAATATCAAAACTGCAATATTTACAATAGGTGAGCATTAGAGATCGCCTAATCTTCCAAATCCTCAAAGGAACTCAACAGAACCTAATTTCTATTTGAGGTATTATTATTCAATAATAATACCTAAAATTTGTAGACTATTTCAGAGTTTATATTGCCTTTTCATATCCACTATATAATTCTCACCATTCTGCCAGGTATTATCCCCCATTTACATGTTAAGAAACTGAGTCTCAAGGGGATTGAATTACATTCATACCCAATATCACATAGCTATTAAGTGGCAGAATTGGTATTTGAATCTGGTGTTACAATATCTATAATTTAGTTTAAAATATTTCAATACAGAAATTAAAATATTATGGGTGTGTTTGGTTAAAATTATACTCTAGGTGCAGCTAGCATTTTAATTGGGAATTCACATGCCGGAGGGATTGCTAGAAGCACTTCAGTCCTCTTAACTCTAATCAACATTAGATATTTTGCTTATTAAACCAATGAATGACAGAAATTAATTTATATTGGAGACATTAATGGATTGTTAATTGGAATAATGGACATTAGGGATGGGCTCTCATTGCTGAAAATAGGGGTGCTGTGGATTAGCTAAAATAATCAAAATGCTTTTGGGGCGCCTCGATGGCTCAGTGGTTAAGCGTTTGCCTTCAGCTCAGGTCATTATCGCAGGGTCCTGGGATCGAGCCCCGCATCGGGCTCCCTGCTCAGTGGAGAGCTTGCTTCTCCCTCTCCCACTCCCCCTGCTTGTGTTCCCTCTCTCGCTGTGTCTCTCTCTGTCAAATAAATAAAATAACATAAAATAAAAATGCTTTTCATGCTTATATGAATTGGTAATAGTACACGAAGGGATAAAACACAAAAGCGTTTCAGTTAAAATCTATCAAGACCGGGGCGCCTGGGTGGCTCAGTCGTTAAGCATCTGCCTTTGGCTCAGGTCATGATCCCAGGGTCCTGGGATCGATCCCAGCGACTGGCTCCCGGCTCAGCGGGAAGCCTGCTTCTCTCTCCCCCACTCCCCCTGCTTGTGTTCCTGCCCTCGCTATCTCTCTCTCTGTCAAATAAATAAATAAAATCTTAAAAAAAAAATCTATGAAGACCTATAGCCTATGTCTTTAGGGATGGAACCTGACACACGATATCTAAAAGGTTCAGTGTCTTGCCATTGTGGTGGAAGGTTTGTGGTTGCCTAATGCCAACACTAAGGGTAATAAAATCCTAAATTTTGTTGTATTACTGCATTTATCTTGTTTGAAGCTTCATGCCAAACCATGGTGGAATCATAGAACACAGTGCTTAGGTTTTTAAAATTGTTTTGTTTTGGCTTGCTAGTAAATATTTAACGCTAAATGTCATCTTCGGATTTATAAAGTTATGTTCTTTTTGTTACATCACAGCGATTCCATCTTCTCCACTATAGCTTGCTATAGTTTTTTTGTTTTTTGTAGAGAGAACTAGCGACCAATCTCACTTACAGATGCAAAACTCCCTACTGGCAGGGAGGCTGAGAGACTAAGGGAGAGATTTCAGCATGGAAGACTGGCACAGAAAAGGAGGCAGTGGCTCCTGGGGAGTTTGAGTGGGCTCGCCTGAGCCTGCGGGCCAACGTGGATCCAGGCCAGACCTACAGGATTGTCCTGGACTCCCCGCGGGCCTTCCTAGCCGCAGTGGCGGGTAGTGCCTGGGAGACCTCAAGACCTGACTCTGGAGAAGCGGATGGAGCTGGAGAACACGCGGCCGAGGAAGCCGGAGGTGCCGATGGAGATCCAGCGCCCGCGGGAGGTGCTTAGTGAAGCCATGGGCGAGGTGGAAGGTCTGGAAGCCAAAGAAGGCAGTTAAAACCTTGCAACAGAATCAAAGGATAACAATGGGCAGGAAGAGCTTCAACATGGACCCCAGAAGGGGATCTAGTTCTTGGTGGAGAAGGAACTTCTCCAGAGCACGCCAGTTTCCTGTACCAGGGCAAGGGCCTGAACAAGACAGCCATGGGGGTTAACTCGGGGAGAGGGAAGGGCTAAACCTGCCAAGGCTCCATGCCTTTATGGATCTGTATGAGTTCACGAACCTCAACCTAGTGCAGGCCCTCATGCAATTTCTTTCTTTCTTTCTTTTTTAAAGATTTCATTTATTTGAAAGAGAGAGACATAGCAAGAGAGGGAACACAAGCAGGGGGAGTGGGAGAGGAAGAAGCAGGCTTCCCACAGAGCAGAGAGCCCGATGCGGGGCTCGATCCCAGGACTCTGGGATCATGACCTGAGCTGAAGGCAGACACCCAATGACTGAGCCACCCAGGCACCCCAGGCCCTCATGCAATTTCTATGGAGCTTTCTACCTCCCTTGAGCCCAGAAGATTGGCCAGATAGATGATGGAAACCTTTGCCATGTGATACTGCCTGGGAACCCCAGGGTTTTCTAGTCTACAGACATATGTGAGGTGCTGTCCTTCGCCTGGTCATGCTGAACACCAGCCTTCACAATCCCAACGTCTGGGACAAGCCAGGCCTGGAGCAATTTGGGGCCATGAACCGAGGCATCAACGAGGGTGGGACCTGCCTGAGGAGCTGCTCAGGAATCTCTATGACAGCATCTGGAATGAGCCCTTCAATATTCCTGAGGATGATGGGAATGGTCTGACCCATACCTTCTTCAACCTGGGCCAGGAGGACTGGCTCCTTAAGCTGGGAGGAGGCCAGGTGAAAGTGTGGAATGGGCACTGGTTTATGGCCACAGACAACTGCCTCTACCATTTGAGAACATGAGGGACAAGGAGCTGGGAGGAATCATCCCTGTGGAGAACCTGAACATCCAAGATCTTGATGAGCCTTGGAAACCAAACTGCTTTGAGCTTTGCATCTCCAGCAACATGGGGCAGCTCATCAAAGTCTGTAAAATGAAGGCAGATGGCAGGAGATGTACCTGGTTTCGGCCCCCATGCAGGCGGAAAAGAAAAGTGGATCCAGTCCATCCTGGAAGCTGTGAGCATAGGCCCCTTCTGTGAGATGCTGGTGGCAAGAAGAAGCTGATTCTGTCAAGAAGGAGGGAGCAGCCCTGCCCCCTTGCTCCATTACTTATTACGGAGGTGCCCCACCCTGGACCCCTGGGCCCTGCCCTTGCAGATTCTGGTTCCCCACTTGGAAAATTCACCACCTCTATCACCTTTCTCTTGTTTGTAATCAACACACTGTTGGTAATTTTTTTTTTTTATAACACTGTTGGTAATCTTATTAAATTATTTAACCACAAAAGAGAGAGAGAGAGTTCCTTCTTGGAGGGGCAGTTCTTCTAAATAACATGTTAGCAAAGAGAATTCATCAATGTACAGAAGAATGATACTCTACAACTAAGTAAAGATTATTTTGGGAATGCAGGGGTGGCTTAATATTAAGAAAATAAATCACTATCATTTAGTGTGATCATATTAGGACTACGATATTGTTAGTAAGTGTTAAAAAAAACTTTTGATAAGGGGTGCCTAGGTGGCTCAGTCAGTTAAGTGTCTGCCTTCGGCTCAGGTCATGATCCCAGGGTCCTGGGATTGAGCCCCGCATCGGGATCCCTGCTCAGCAGGAAGCCTGCTTCTCCCTCTCCTTCTGCGGCTCCCCCTGCTTGTACTCTCTCTCTCTCTGTGTCAAATAAATAAATAAAATCTTTAAAAAATAGATTTTAACATCCGTCTTTCAATAATTGATAGAATAAGGGGACTAAAATTAGTACAGATAAAAAAGACTTGCACAACATTACCAGTCGACTTAACATTTATGTAACACTCCACCTAACCACACCAGAATACACACTCTTTTCAGATACACACAGAACTTTTACCAAGATAGACCATATTCTGAGCCATAACACAAGTCTCAATAAATTTTTTTTTTAATTTTTATTTATTTGACAGAGAGAGAGACAGTGAGAGAGGGAACACAAGCAGGGGGAGTGGGAGAGGGAGAAGCAGGCTTCCTGCGGAGCAGGGAGCCTGATGCGGGGCTTGATCCCAGGACTCTGGGATCATGACCTGAGCCGAGGGCAGACGCTTAACGACTGAGTCACCCAGGCGCCCCAGTCTCAATAAATTTGTGGATTCTAGTCATACGAGCTATGTTCTAGGGCCACAATGGAATTAAATTAGAAACCAATAGCAGAAAGATATCTAGAAAATACCCCAGTATTTAAACTAAATAAAACAATTCTAAATACCCACAAGTCAAAGAAGGGAAATTTAAAAGTATTTGAACTAAATGAAAATATCAAAATTTGTGGAATTCAGTAAGGCAGTACTTTTGGGGAAATTTGTTCTAAACCTACTAACTACTCAGCATTTAAAAGAAACAGGCTATTGATTTATACAGCAACATGAATGAATCTCAATTACTAACAGTGAAAGGAGCCACTTAAAAAAGCGTATCTTGCATAATTACAGTTCCAATTTTTTAAAATTCTGGAAAATGCAAACTTATCTCTAGAGACAAAATAGATCAGTGACTACCTGGTGCCAAAGTTTGGGGTGGGGAAAGAGGAGGGATTACAAAGGTGCATTAAGGAAGCTTTTTGGAGTGATTGATAGGTTTATTTTTATTTTGGTGATGGTGTATGGGTGTATAAATATGTCAAAACTTATCAAATTGTATACTTTAAATATGAGCCTTTTATTGTATATCAGTTATACCTCAATAAATTATTTAAAAATTAAATTGAAAAAAGAGCCCAGAAATCTGTATAGAGATCTTGAATCTTTGAATTCTAAGCTGTACATGTGAGGATAAGTTTCCACTTAGTTTTAGCTTTCTGTAAAATTTGCCTGGCATTGCCTACTAAGCCTCCACTGTTGATGTGATGCCAAATATAAACATATATATATATATTTAAATATTTGAGCCCTGAGGCACCTGGGTGGCTCAGTGGGTTAAGCGTCTGCCTTCAGCTCAGGTCATGATCCCAGGGTCCTGGGATTGAGCCCCCGCGTTGGGCTCCCTGATCAGCGGGGAGTCTGCTTCTCCCTCTCCTGCTCCCCCTGCTCCCCCTGCTTGTGCTCTCTCTCTCTGAAATAAATAAAATAAATAAATAAAAATATTTAGAAAAGAAGAAATAAAATAAATAAAATAAAATAAAAAATAAATAAAAAATAAAATAAAATAAAATAAAAATATTTGAGCCCTATTATGGGACATGTATTAGGAATGCAGAAACCAATGAACTCCATTTCCACAAGGAGTTCTCATCAGAGTATGGACCCCAATCTTCAGGAGCCAGGCATGTATATATGTGTGTGTAGCTACCAGGCAAGAAAATATGAAGACTAAAGCACTCTAGAAAGACCAAATGTAAAAGCAGTAAAATCTAAATACTATATTTAAACATCTTCATACTAATTAAACATTTCTGTGGGCTGACCATTTTATCACTCCTAGTATAGATGGGTAAGGGCAAAAAGTATGGCAGGGACAAGGTATGAGAATATATTAGGAAAGAACATAGGCAAAGGATTGCAAAATAAAACAGCTTGTTTTAATTAAATAGTTTCATGTGTTTGGGAAGACGGGAACAAAGTATAAGTGAGAGGCCAGTACTTGTTCTTTTATAATATATACTGAAATTTTCAACAATTTGTGTAAGTATTTGCTTAGTTCTGTCACCAGACTGGATGATAGCAGTGGAGGAGGGGTCTTAGAAGTTCACAATTGAATTGTTTTACCTATAGAAATAGCATTCTGAATACTAATTTTATCAGAAGATGTCTTACACGTATGAGCCATTCCTTCCCTAGGCCTGAAAACAGACGCTATTCTTGGATGATTAATTAAAGAACCCTGATATCTACATGACCAGGACTATACGATGGACAATGCTCAGAAATTGTGTGTCATATCACAATTGTTCTCAGCTCTTGAATTAGTTCCACTAAAATATTTAAAAACAAATGGTCTGCATCTATACATAGTATCATCAAGAAGCTATAAAGTATTAACTTTTTTTTTTTTAAATTCTAGGTAGTTAATGTACAGTGCAATAGTGGTTTCTGGAGTAGAATTCAATGTTTCATTACTAACAACACCCAGTGCTCATCACAAGTGCCCTCAATACTCATCACCCATCTAGCTCATCCCCCACCCACCTCCCTCCATCAACGCTCAGTTTGTTCTCCATTGTTAAGAGCCTCTTATGGGGGGCGCCTGGGTGGCTCAGTCGTTAAGCGTCTGCCTTCGGCTCGGGTCATGATCCCAGAGTCCTGGGATCGAGCCCCGCATCGGGCTCCCTGCTCTGCGGGAAGCCTGCTTCTCCCTCTCCCACTCCCCCTGCTTGTGTTCCCTCTCTCGCTGTCTCTCTATCAAATAAATAAATAAAATCTTTAAAAAAAAAAAAAAAGAGCCTCTTATGGGGGCACCTGCGTGGCTCAGTTGGTTAAGCGTCTGCCTTCAGCTCAGGTCATGATCCCAGGGTCCTGTGATGGAGTCCCATGTCAGGCTCCCTGCTCAGAGGGAAGCCTGCTTCTCCCTCTGCCTGCCACTCTCCCTGCTTGTGCTCTCTCTCTCAAATAAATAAATAAATAAAAATCTTAAAAAAAAAAAAAGCCTCTTACAGCTTATTTCCCTCTCTCCTTTTTTTCTTTTTCCCCTTCCCATATTTTGATCTGTTTTCTTACTTAAATTCCACATATAAGTGAGATCATACGGTATTTGTCTTTCTCTGACATTTCACTTAGCATAATACACTCTAGCTCCATCCATGTCATTGCAAATGGCAATATTTCATTCCCCCTCTTTAGAGATTTTATTTATTTATTTGAGAGAGAGAAAGCATGAGAGGGAAGAGGGTCAGAA